AACCCGCGATTACCCCGCCGTTCCAGATCCCGCGTTTTCGCTTCTATTAACCGTTACACCGCGAGATGTAATCGAATTATCGGAGAACAGTTAGAAATTAGAACTTATCGAAGAAATGGTTAGAATAAAAGGATGGAAACGAAGGAATTTGGATCGAGGATTTTGCAATTTGAGAAAAATATACATTGGGCATAAAGATGAAATCGATGAATTAGGATGGATTGTTTGGAGAAGGAATTGAATGTAGACAGTTGCCGTTACAAATATTGAGAATATAAAAAAAACGTGTAAAGTATATTTCTATTTAATAATTTTTCAATATTTATATCGCAAATAATAATTCTCACGATAGAGGTATACTATTGTAAGAATCATTATTCTGTGTAATTAAATTTCATTCTTGATCGAGAACACCTTACAATTTGGTCCTCAAAAGATCTTTGGAGGATCAAGTGTATACTAATTTAATTATGTTCAAAACTCGACGAGGAAGGTATCGGTCGAAATTATAAAGAAATTGTAACGAGGTGAAAATATTCGATCAACTTCTTGGACAAATAACTTTCGAAATTTCGAAATTATAAAATTAATAATAATAATAATTTTATAATATCCACGTAACAACTCGATCGCCCGTTCCATTTTCATCATCATCTCGTGTAAAAAGAAATTCTGGTTCACGAGATTCAGCGGCGAAACTCGTTACCTTTGACGATCGACGGGAGGAAATGCAAAAGAAGCTGGTAAATATTAGCATACAGTGAAATATCCGCGTTGCGTGGATCAACAGGAAATTTACATCACGCGAGTCTCGTTCTCTCTCTCTCTCTCTCTCTCTCTTACGGCCAAGTGTCGTAACAATGATTCGTGAATAAGGCACGACTCGATTTAAAAAGAGAGACACGTGTGACCAGAACCGACACGCGAGAATGGGAATAATTCCAACGCGTAAACAGGCTGGCTGGAATGTACTCCGTTAATCCGTGTCCAAAACCGTGCGAATAACTAGCCGTAATTACGCGTTAACGAGATAGAAGTGGAAGAGAATTTTGCCCGTCGGATCAACGTGTTGCGCGTTTCTTCATTTATGTTCATTATGCTGCCGAATATTAATTTAAATGGCATTCAATGGACGAACGATGATCCTACTTTCTATTTCGTCCCACGTATTTTTCCAACGAATTGTTGGAGAAAAATAAAATTGGAGACGTAGGTTGATCTTTATCTCGAGAACGAAATCCTTTTTTTTTCTTTCTTCGCAAAAATTAAATTCTCGTTCGACGATTTCGAATCTAAACGTTCAAAGCAAATATTTCTTTACGGGATTTGCATAATTCGTCCGAGGCGAGCGGAGGAGATTACAGACGCAGAGAAAAAGGAGAATGTGCGAATATACGCGTAAGAATAAGTCGTACGTTCAAGATGCGTACGCGAGCTATTCAATAGAATCGAGAGTGAAAGTTATTCCGCGTTACGTCGAGTTACCTTGTGAAAGAATTTTACTCGATCCCCCTCCTCGTATCCGTCTAGAAAAAGAAAACTTTACCGCGAATTTTTCTATCGAGATTGAAAATCTCCAACTTCGTGATCTCTTCCAAATTAAATTTCTCTCTTATCCCTTAGAAAAAAAAAAAATCAAATTTCCATAATAAAAAAAAGAGAGAAAGAAAACTCAAACTCTACCATGAAAAATTTTCATAAAATCTCGATGCTTCGTCCCCGGCGATAATGCCTCGCCCTATTCGCGTCGCAGCAAATTCCAACAATCTCACCCCTCTCCAACACTTATGTAATCCAGAAGTGGATCCAAGGATTCAGCCTCAATTTCCTCGATCGTTTACCACCGGTCGCTTATCTGCTCGGTTGTTTCCCGTTATTGCGATCATTACGCGAGCATTGAATTCAATCTCCTTATCAGCCGCGTGGTTGCATTCGCCTCTCCGGGCCATTATTTCGCCCCTCGGATAGGACGCGGTCAGAAGGACAGCCGCCTCGAGAGAGGGGAAAATAGAGTTGGGAGAGAAAGCTTGGTGGAAATCAAGTGTGGAAATGGAAAGGCGCGTGGTTTAGGCGAAATTGCTTTTGACCGGATCTCTCCTGTCCGCGTGGTGTCTCGCGAAAAGGAAGCCCTCAGCTAACGAGATTTCACGGGACGTGGTTTGTCTTTTCATCGAGACCCTCTTTCGAAATGTGCGTTCGAAAAGGTTGTCCACGGAGAACCAACCACGACTTGCCAGGATTCCGTAGGCGCGAATTCGAGCGTGTAATGGCGACGAAACGAGCGATGTTTGGCGGATACGCTGATCTCCCTGAATCTCGAGGAGCCGTTCTTCCTCGAAAGTATCAAAGCATCGATTCCACTGTCCAGCACAGGATTTCTCTACGTGCGGTGCTCGTTCGAGCATTGGATCGAGAAACCGCGATTATAATTTACACGCTAATGGATGGTGCGAGGTCGAGAACGATGCGGGATACTCGGTATCCGCGTGTGTTCAAGTTTAATCCGCCGGATGGGGAATTAATTTTGACGAGGAGAAGAGTAGAGTGTGGTATTATATACGATTGGAGAGCGATCGGATAACGAGATATTACTCGGTGCGTTAGATAGAAGTGATATTGTTTTAAGCGGAATTAAGGGATCGGTCGATTCGAGTAGTTTGACCTAGTAGAGGATGAATCGAATAAACAGTGGAGGGACTGATAAACGGTTGTGACAAGCAACCGCTATTCACTCACTCGCTTTTTCTTTTTCATTCGTGCACGCGAGAAATCCTCGTAATCTTTACGAATGTCCATGTGGCAAACACGACGCACGTGATTACGTTCCCCTTATACAGTATTACTGGCGTGCAGTTTGCGTCCGACAAACAGAACATCGGTTTATACGTGTACATATTTTCCACGTGCACGCCTGTCACGCGATCACGTGCTCGGTATAATAAGCTTATTAAATTGTTAGCGCGTGTAATGCAGAGTGCTAGACCGTGGATGGAAATTTGCGCGTTTCCATTTGTACCGGTTCGACGGAATCGATGCATAATCGCGGGAAACTGTGCCCCTCCCTGCCCCACTGGTGAACGACACTAATTAAACTGGATCGCGTCGATCCGACTTACAAGGAGGCAAGGATTAATTTGCGAGGCACACTTAATTAAATCCGTTGTTCCCTCGTTCAAGGGAAGGGATGGTTTTTTCTTTAATCGAGGCGGCGATTTGTGGTGGAACTTCTTGCGGTCGATCCAGCGGAGGATCTTTGATCATCTTTTTTTGTGCATCTCCTCCTCCCCCCGTGTCAGTCGAGAAAATTGAAAATTCTTCGGTGTTAAAGAACTTCTTTTCGAAGTTTTTTTTTAAATCTAATTAAAAGTTTCTTCGATGAATCCTATCCGCAAAAAGGGATGTCTGCAGACATCTTTCATCGATTTCGGCCAAGTATTTTATCCAAGGTTAAAGGCTCAACCCGGATAATGGTTACGCTTAGGTAAATTTGGATTATTGGAAAGAGTTTCGATTTTCCGAAATTTAATTAAAAATTCTTTGACGTCGAGATGTTTTATCGATGGCCCGAGTTTAAGAAGAATCAAGAACGAGAATATTCTGTGATAATTGTTTCGAGAATAGTTTGATCCACGAGATTAATGTATCTCGAGATGATCTTCTTTTTTTTTTCTTTACATTTGAAATCATTTGAGATTTATCCTTAAAATTTAGACGAAAGAAAAAAAGAAAACACAAAAGGATAGAAATGATAATCTCGATGAGAAACACACGGGCGCATAAATTAAACGAAATTAAAACGCGTAAACGCGTGTTCGCGGAGCAACAGCAGACAGGTGGAGACTTTGTTTGTGGAATGCAATTACACGCAAACGATAAAATAACGCAATTAGATTCGAAACGGTGGGACGGTGGGGCGGTATTCAATTAACAGATTTTAATTTGCAACATCGTTACCGAGAAAAATAATTCGACGCATCCGCGATTCCGCAATTGCTTCGTACGCGTCTTGTGTACCGCCGATTTTTCCTTTTTTTTTTTTCTATCAATAAACCAATAAACACCGCAGTGTGGTTAACGTTAGTTCCGCTGTATTGTGAATTTCTGATTTACCTTCTCCAGTGATCCGTTAAATTAAACAACCATTCGAAATTCATATCCCATCAATATCCCCCGGTAATGAAAAAAACTCTTCGTACGTACACACAGTCAATCATAAAAAAAACCTTTAGGTATTCGTTTGCAAGTAAATTCCGCGAAAAATGTTGATTTCGAATTGAAAGTTTTTCAAACATGAAAAATAGATTCAGAATACAATCGTAGCAATGAATAATAATGTTTCTAACACAAAATGAGCGTGGATAAAAAATTTGCATCATTCTTCGAATATCGCGAATTATATTTCGAATAGTTTGCATTTCGTTGATGTAGATTTTTTCGTGCACCCAAATTTTAATAAACATTCGCTTATGCAATGATATTTTTTTCTCCACAGATTGCAAATAAACGAGGAACGTATATATGTATATTACGTAACTTTTGCGGTGAACTGTACGTACAAACAACTTACATCCTCAATTTATCCGGACGGAATCGCAATTACGATTCATAAACGATTCGTATCATAGCCTCGTGGAAAAGTTGTTAAAAAAAAAAAAAAGAAAAAAAAAACGAGATAAATAGATCGAGCCAAATCGTATAACCGAAAATTTCGACAACCACTGGTTCACCCGCGTGCTCGTATTGAAAAATATTTCCACGCCAAAGTTTCAACACTCTCTCCCCCCTTTAAACGTAGGGGAAAAACGGGGCAATTCGTAATCTCATAGAGGAATTTTCCACCCATTTTCCAGGACGAAACGACGAAAGCTAGCATCGAGGGGGACGGAGTTTGTGTCCGATCGGTGGAAACAGATTCTCTCGCTTAATATAATCGCGCCGATACATGCATCGGCCGCGTTATCGCCGCCGCGTCCTCGTAAATCGTGATTACGTCGGCCAACCGATCCTAACGAATCGACCGATATATCCTGAATTATGGTCCTTTAGAGCGTTTCCACGTTCGCGAAAATGTAATTCGGAATTTCGGAAATTCGTTTCGTTCAAAGATGAAACTACTCACTTTCTCATTTAATTTATATTCGATTTGAGGGAAACGAAGCGCAAGGTATCGAGCAAAATTAATTCTTCGCGGTTAAGATTTTTGCTTTTTGTTTCGTTGGGAACAATATTCAATTTTGTGACAATCTTATGCGTTTAACAGGAGAAGAAAAATATCGTCGTACGAAAAGGAAGAAATGTCCTAAATGTGGAATACGTCGAATATTCAAAGAGAGACAGAGATTTGGCTTGAATATTGTTCAAAGGAAATTATGCGAAAGATTTCGGTTATTTGTAGGAGAGATCGCAGGAGATCCGGAAGGAATCTTGGCGATGCCTTGGTATTAACATAACTTCGATGGAACGAGTCTTGGGAAACGCGGTGTAAAAACAAGCATCTCCGAAATATTCTGTCACAGTTATGCGCGAAAATTTTCACTCGAATAATACGAAATACCCGCATACGAAACCAGACGATTTTTCTTCCTCCTTCGTTAACGGAAGAAATTGGATTTCGCGTCGAGAAAAAAGCGATCGGTCGCGGTGACAAGCTGATTCGATTTTCAAACGGTAGCCATTTATTCGCCAATCACCGGAGTGAACGAAGGTGAACGAGGTGCGATTAGCACCGGCAATTATTCAGACACCTGTTCTCCTACCCGATCGACCGATCTGAAAAACGGAAAGTCGCGAGGAGAACGAATCTCTCCTTTGAAAACCGGTGTTGTCGTAACGTTATATTCGAGGATTGTATCGCTGCGCGGAACACACCGAGGGCTGTGATTAGCATAGTTTTTTTTCGTGGGAAAACTCGAAAGTCGAGCGACCCAAATCCCGAGAAGAGATGCGTCGTTTCGCGCATAATAATGCGTGTCTGCCGCTTACGTACAAGTGTTACGTGCGTGGCCGAGGAAAATTAGATCGAATTCTTTCTTCCGTGATTTTTTCGCCGCACCTTCTACATCTAAAAATTATCTTGAAGCTTGAGCGCAATGATGAGGTTCATTTGTTTGCACCGAGTCGAGACGAGTTACGTCTCGAAGAAAGTGGAACGAGTTAAAAATTGGCATTTTAATCTTTCGCATTACGAGGTCACTATGTGAGGACGTTGCTTTTGTAAGTAAGGAAAAATAATATCTCTTTGAAGAGATAACAAGATAATTTCATATCTGGAGCCTAATAAATTTTTCGTCGAAAAATTGTGCCAGATAGAAATAGTGTCGCGTTACGTTAAACTTGTTAGAAACTGCGTTTCTCCAGTTCAAAATTAAAGTTTCGCGAAACTTGGGAACAAGTCTCATTTCGGTGAGTTTAGAATTAATCTTCCAAAGCTTGTTGCCCTCTTCCCACTTCTGGCGAAAATATATTTGCATCTACTATCCCTCGCTAAAAAAAAACTACTCGATTCAAAAGATCGATTTCCAGCAAGCAATATCATCGCAAAATCCAAAATTTCAAAATGTCCTCGCAAGCTTAATTGACCAAGCATCGTCCATCCACCGTGAATCGAGACACACCTCACCTTTGTCTCTCTCTCTTTCTTCGTATCCTTGGTTTCCATACGACGATTCGGCCACATTCTGATCACCATCGTTCCCATCCGCAGGGAGGAAACGCATCGAGCACAATCTCGGATTAATCGAGCGGCGAAATTGTAGCGCGACGCCGGTGGCAGTGCGCGTACACGTTTAGAGGATGATCTTATTCCGCCACCATTTTACAATGGGAAGTCGAGAATGAAACGTCCTCCGGCGCGGAATGATTTATGCACTTGCACATCTCGTGATTACACCTCCTCCTTTCTCATCGATATTGTTCTCTTTTTCCGACTTCTTCCATTTCGAAAGGAGGATTTGACTCGGAAAAATCGTGGCTCGCCTTGTCTTCCGGATGAATCTTCATTTTCGAAAAATTTATTTATTTTTTTTTTTCCATTCCCATTGTTACATCGTGTAGTCCCTTGCTTCCCTTTTCTCGTGTCATTTGGAGAGAAGGTATCCTGCATTGCGATTTATAAAGTGAATCGCAAAGTTTAATCTAATGCAGACTAGATTTATACTATCTTTTTTCTTCGCTATAACTTTCACTGATACTCGCGTCAACGATCAAGAAAATGTCTTTAATGAGAGGTACTCTCTGTCGTGTTTGACAATTTTGCTCCTCTCCCTAATTGCGCCAAGAATTCTCGCAATTGTATTTTATTTACAAAATCCTGATCAATCGTATAATTTACTCGTTAACAAAGCGTATCGAGCACCATGGATAAATCTCGCCGATTTAACCGGCTCTTAAATCGTCCACGGAAATAGAGCGTTTGCATCTTTCGTGAAAGCATCTTTCAAGCGCGCGCCAGTAGTCAAACGACTTGCACTCTCCTGCGAGTTACGCGACGCACGGCAAAGAAGGAAAACTCAACAAGATGTGTGTCACGTTTCAGAGATCCGTTTCAAAAGCTCGATTTCTCGTCAACGTATAGAGATACACTCATCTATATACATAAACGCTCGTCTCGAAATACTTGTTGTCAAAAGGAATTCGAGTTTTAACAAACAAACAATTTCTATAATTAATCTCGTTCTTGTTCTAACCGTCCGTTCAGGAAGAGAAAAAGAGAGAGGCGCTTTCGTCTTGGCAACGTTTGCAAAATTTCATACGCGTACGTTGGACAGATGAGCGGAAGGAGTTTGATCTACTTTTACCGCGATTTAGTTTCTCGTTAACTGTTGAGGGAACGTGTTTATAGCGACAGTTATTGAGACGGACAGACAAGAGGCGGTTTCCACGAATTATTTCTTTCATCATCGACTGTTGTTCGCTCGCAGTTTTATCTCATTCCATTCCTTCCTCGTGGAAGAGATAAACTTTAAACGCAAATTGAATATTGGAGAAGTTGAACGGTTGTTGCGCAAAATTATTAAAAATTATTTAGGAAAAAAAGAATTTGAATAAAATTTTCCACGAAGGAAGCTCGTTACTACGTACGCGATAAAGTAAAATTTCATCGAGTCCCCGAGCAAGAAAATGAAAGGTTGGCCAAACGCGGAGCGTAATCTTCCAGATCAGCGTAAATTGCTCGTAGCCCGAGTTGGAGGTGTTCGACCAACGCGGTATTCTCCAACTTGTACGAGCGGGTAATAAGCTTCCGACACGGGCGATTTAACATCCAATCAATTGGGAATGAACAACCTATAAAACAACACGCGTTGATAAAGAGCGTAATTATTAAAATTGTTTCAGTTTAACAACGAAACATTTTCGACATCATCGGATGCTCAAGCTCGAGTTAAGCCTGTGGCAAATTATCCACGGTCATAGCGTTAGATATCACCGTGACTTGTACAATTTGATCGCAAGTTAAACGAGGTAACGAGTTTATGGTAACGATCGGATACGGTAAATGTTCGCTCAACAAGTTGTTGTTTGACCTTGTTACTCACTTAGGTAGTTCGGACTTCATTATCTTTTTGCTCCTTCTCTCTTTCTTTTTTAACGTTAGAAGCGAGTTAATTAATTTAATTTACGTGTAATTCGTATCTAGTTTCGGGATAATAAGTTCAACTTTGCCAAAACTCCTCGTCCTATTCCACGAGACGATAATATTTTAAAATTGCTCGCAAAATTTCTCCAAGATGTTAACGAACGATTCCTTTTCAAAATCACGTACGTAGAGAGAGAAGTATGATTCGATGATAATTCATTTTCTACGATGTGCAACGATCTGTAAAGTTGGAGAAAGTTGGACGACACCGCGTGGCGCAACGATCTTCCAGGAACTGGGGATCATCCCATTCCCGGAGAGCGGCGGCTTTTGCCAATTTTCCGATACACGCGCTCCCTATTTAGCCCGACAGTGTTGTACAGTGCATCGACAAAGGTCGATCACCCTCGTTCGACGACGATCCACGGTAATACGGCCCCGCTCTACATCCGATTGACGCTCACATTGTCACGAAAGTACACGCCACATCCACCCATTATGGACGTTAATTGGTAATTATCAGGCGAAGCCATCGTGACGCGGTTCCCTCAAAAATCTCCCCCCCCCCCCCATTTTTCTCTCGAAAATTTAACGGCCAACTTCGCCGTCTGTCTATCCGCACAGAAGAATATTACAATTTAATCGTTTAATTGGACTTTCGAGAGAATTCGAAATTCGAAATATGGCTCGCTTTTGAAACTAATTTATTAGAAATAAATTCGGTATTCTCGATACGAAGGATATTATTTTTCGTTAAAATCTCCATGCAAGTTTTATAAAGAGCTCTTTGACGAGATGAAAATGAGATCCAATTTTCGATTCGCGATTCTCTGGAATGATGCACTTCAAGGAATAATTTATATTCTCTCGAGTCCTAAATTACAAATCGAAGCATAGAGACGATTAATGGCTTCGGTATGAGCTGTTCGACGAGTTCAATTTTCCGATCATTCGTGTCTCTCTCTCTGTCTCTTTTGGAAAAACTCTCTCTTGGAGAGTAATTGTGCATTCTCGAATATAAAAGATTAAGTCACGTTAAGTCGTAGTTTTATTGCAAATTAAAATTACGATTTGTGCTCTCTAGTTTTCGTATTCGTTACTTTAAATTTATTTCACGATTAATGGCTTTGGTATGAGCTGTTCCTACGAGTTCAATTTTTCCATCATTCGTGTCTCTCTCTCTCTGTCTCTTTTGGAAAAACTCTCTCTTGGAGAGTAATTGTGCATTCTCGAATATAAAAGATTAAGTCACGTTAAGTCGTAGTTTTATTGCAAATTAAAATTACGATTTGTGCTCTCTACTACTCGTTACTTTAAATTTATTTCACGATTAAGACGTGGTGTCGTGGAGTGGCGGTTTATCGAAGCTCGTACGAGTGGCAATCTCTTAAACTGTCGAGACAGTGAACACTCTCTTTGAGCGCAAACTT